TTTCACTTATTTGTGGAACATAAGGAATAACATGGAGGACATTAGGAGAAGGAAGGGGAAAATGGGGAGGGGGAATTGGAGGGAGAGATGAACCAAGAAAGACTATGGACTCTGAGAAACAAACAGGGTTTTAGAGGAGGGGGGAGAGGGGGTTGGTTAGCCCGGTGATGGGTATTAAGCAGGGCATGTACTGCATGGAGCACTGGGTGCTATATGAAAACAATGGATCGTGGATCACTACATCAAAAACTAATGATGTATTGTATGGTGACATACATAATAAAATTAAAAAATAAAAAAAGAAGGCAGCCATCTGCAGGCCAGCAAGAGGGCTCTCACTGGAACCTGGCTGCGTTGGCACCCTGATCTCAGACTCACAGCCTCCAGAACTGTGAGAAATAGATGTCTGTGCCTGAAGCCACCCGGTCTATGGTATCTTGTTATGGCAGCCCAAGTAGACCAAGACACTAACTTCCAGGAACCATGTGGGTTCTGTGGGCACAGCATTCCAGGCAGACAGCGTGGGCCCTAGGAACACAAGGTGCCCCTGCCCTGACTGCCAAATGTCCAGCTTTGGGGACAGGTCCAGAATCGGTAATAGTAATGTAAGTTCTGTCAGCTGTGGCAGCTCTTCATATGCAAAGTATATTCAGAAATCAGGTGCTTTTATACGTAAACCTGACAGCACTCCCGTATACCAACGGATGCATGCACTCATCCAAGAAATAGGTCTCGAACACCAGCTGTGTGTCTGTTGAGCACATCGGTGCGGGGGCGATAGCAATAATCAGAACAGACCAAGTCCCTGTCCTCAGAGAGCTGATCTTCTACTGGGGAACACAGGCGATCAACGAAATGAGTAAGCAAAAAGTATGATATGCTAGATGGTGGTAAGTGCTAAGGAGGAAAATAAGGCAGCCAAGAAGGCAACCTTCAATAGAGAGGCGAGGGGACATCTCACAAAGAAGGTGACAGGGGAATAAAGACCTGGAGGAGGTGAGGGAGGGAGCCATGTGTATATCAGCAAAAGAACATTCCAGAATGACAGAAAGGCAAAGGGCCTGAGATGTGCTGGAAAATCACCAAGAAGGGCAGTATGGCAAAGAAGAGAAGACATGAGGGGAGAGAGCTGAGGGGTGGTACAGATCACCATTACGCAGAGCTCCTGGAACATTCTATTGACTTCACCTTCTCCACTTAGCAGAGGCAGGGGTTCTTTACATTGTTACCAAGTCTCTCTGGCTGCTGCGTGGGCAGCATTGCTATGGAGTAACGCATTGGAATACAGGCTACAGGGGCTTTCCAGGGCTGCCCTCACCAATCACCACAAACTGGTGGCTTAAAACAAGACAAATGTATTCTTCCATGTTGCTGGAGGCTGGAAGTCTGAAATCAAGGTGTCTGCAGGGTTGGTTTCTTCTGGAGTCTCTGAGGGAGAATCTGTCCCATGCTTCTCTCAGCTTCTGGTGGCTGCAGCAATCCTTGGCATTCCTTGACTTGGAGCTACATCATTCTAATCTCTGCTTCTGACTTCAGGTGGTCTTTTTCCGTGTGTGTGTGTGTGTGTGTGTGTGTGTGTGTGTGTGTGTGTCTGCCTGTCTGTCTGAACCTCTCTCTCCTTTTTCTTATGAAGATACCAGTTGTTGGATTTAGGGCCCACTTTAATGCAGTATGACCTCATCTTAGCTAATTACATCTACAAAGACCCTATTTCCATTGGCAGATGAATTTGGGGGATAGTATACAACTCACTATGCATACCTATCACTAAAATACCATGTTTAGGCTTATGATCTGAAAAAACGAGGCTTGTTTTTTTAGGTACATTCCTGCAGTTTATAGGAAGGAAAACACCATGTGAGGTGAGAGTTGATTCCTTGGCAAGATGGAATTGGCTGAAAACAAAGTATACATAAGAAGGCTAAAGTTTGGGGCGCCTGGGTGGCTCAGTTGGTTAAGCGTGTGCCTTTGGCTCAGGTCATGATCCTGGGGTCCTGGGATCGGGTCCCGCATCAGGCTCCTTACTCAGCAGTAAGTCTGTTTCTCCCTCTCCCTCTGCCCCTCCACTGCTCACTCACCCTCTTTCTCTCTCAAATAAATAAATTAAATTACATTTAAAAAAAAGAAGAAGACCAAAGTCCAGGTCCGAGGGACTACTCTGCCGGGTTGTTTTTTTCCCCCCAATAGTAACAGCAAACTTATCTGAACACATACGTTTGAAAAGAAAACAAAAAGGCCTTTCCACAAAACTGCCTTCGGTAATGATGGTTTTAGCCCTAGCTCTGGGAAGTGAATGGCGAGGTAGTCTGGCAGGTCTGGGCTGGGGATCTCCAGTAGAAAGGCAGGGTAAAGGCTGCCAAGCTTTGCCTGGTGACTTTTTAAAGAAGATTTTAATTAATTTATTTGTCAGCGACAGAGAGACAGCACAAGCAGGGGGAGCGGCAGGCAGATGGAGAAGCAGGCTCCCCACTGAGCAGGGAGCCCCACTCGGGGTTCAATCCCAGGACCCTGGGATCATGACCTGAGCCAAAGGCAGACGCTTAACTGACTGAGCCACCCAGGTGTCCCTGCCTGGTGACTTCTTAAAAGAACTTGTTTGTGCTCTATGAAACAAAACTGTGGACTAATTCAACATCTACAAACAATAAGCAAATTCTTAAACTGCCACATCGCTTCTCTAGACTCACCCATTGGCCATTCCTCTCCATGGAGCCCTCTGAGCCTGATTCATCAAAGTCCAGGAAGAAATCCCAGGAGAGAAGGTCAACAAGGACAGCAGGGTGCCCTGGCTCGTTTACCAGCCTGGTTGACTGCTGCCAGCCATGCTCCTCAGGTGGCGCTGTCTTAACCCATTTTTATATGGCTGTGTCCACCTCAGAATAAAGTCATGGAACCATTCTGGAGAAGATATTGAGCACGTGAGGCTACTTCACCACCATGAGCTAGTGATGTTTGGTGATCATAGGGATGCTCCCCACCATTCTCTTTCTGTCTCTCTTTCCCTGCTCTCTCTCTGTCTCTTACACACACACTCTTTACTGCCTTGCCTCTTCAAAATGCCACCCCTCTACTTCTGGTCCAGCTGTTCTTGTTCTCCAGACCCTCTCCCCACACATGCACATTTTACACTCAGGGCCTAGCCTTATGGAGGGCCTGCACCTCCATCCCTTCTACCCAAATGCTGCCCACCTGATACCCAACCATATTCCTGCCCCCCTCCTGTTCACTGTGGCATATAGAGCATTAGTTGGGTCACACATGAGATCAAATTGCCCACCTACAACAAAGCTCTGCGCTCAATCTAAGACATGTTGAAAGACTGACCCCAGCAAGCCTCCATGAGCAACATCAGTAGAGAACAGTAGTACAGAAATCTTTGCTTCTTCTTTCCATAGATGAACCCTGCTCCATGCCCATATTTTTGGCATTCCAACACTAAGGCTAGACTGAGTGCAGAATAAGTGTGAAAGCCCAAATCTAAAGAAAAAAATTTTTGTGTGTAGCATTTCATTATGGTTCAGCCTCTTTTGCCTTTCTTTCTGGTTCCCTGCTTTTTCATTTAAATGGTAGCATTTAAAAACACTGCTGTATCCAAAAGAAAACAAAAACATTAGTTTGAAAGAATACGTGCACCCCTATGTTTGTTGCAACATAATTTACAATAGCCAAGGTATGAAAGCAACCTAAGTGTCCACCGATAGATAAAAGGATAAGGAAGATGTGGTGTATGCATGCAATGGAATATTATACAGCCACAAGAAAGGATGAGATCTTGCCATTTGCAACAACATGGATGGACCCACAGGGCATAATACTAAGTGAAATAAGTCAGACTGAGAAAGACAAATATATGATTTCACTCGTGTGTGGAATCTAAAAAACCAAAACAAATGAATAAGCAAAAAAATGCAGAATCAGACCTATAAATACAGAGAACAAACTGATGGTTGCCGAAGGGGAGGCAGGTGGGGGGTAAACAAAATATGTGAAGGAGAGAAGAAGATCCAGGCTTCCAGCTACGGAATGAACACATCATGGGGATAAAAGGTACAGCATAGGGGGCGGAGCAAGATGGCGGAGGAGTAGGAGACCTAGATTTCGTCTCCTCTCAGGAATTCAGCTGGATAGGGATCAAACCATTCTGAACACCTACAAACTCAACAGGAGAT